TGAAGATGATTGGTTGGTCATTGTATCAGACAGATGTGGACTCCGTGGTAAATGCTGAGAAAAGTTGTTGAGGAGTTCACTAAATGGTACCTGGTAATAAACCTAACTGGATATATTGTCAGTTTATTACAAAAAAGGTCATTCAGTGTATTTTTGACGGGGCTTTAAGAACGTTTTTGTGAAATTTGACTTTTATCGATAATAAAAATACATTAAAGCCATTTAATGACACAAACCCTTTTTATATATCAATTATAGTTATAACAAACACACAATTTTCTGATTTCACATAGGGAAAATTCATCCAAGTTCTTTGTGTTACAAAATTATCAAATGTGCTTGATTACTTTTTGCAATATACCCTTCACACATCCTTGACAACTTAATAATGACATCTTTCCCGTAACACTGAATTTGAGTTTTTTAAGAGTTTATTGGATCACTGAAAATACGGTTATTGGGATCCTAAATATGGTCCTGCGTAATAAAAATATTTTATTGACGACTTCATCACTTTTTCCTACGAGAAACAGTCCTATGGTATATTATGTGGAAACATGGAGGCATCTATAGAGATTATTATCGTAGAAGTTGTGGTATCTTGAGGTTCTAGTAAATATATTTCTTATATCATGGGTGATAATTATTCAGGACGCAGTCATTATGAGGTTTTTATTAGTGCCGATGTTTCAATCCAAACATGTGGATCATCATCAGGGCATGGTTCGAACACTGAAGATATTCAAGTACTCAGTAAACATCGGTACGTCGGCACTAATAAAAACCTTATAATGACTGCGTCCTGAATATTTATCAGCCATGATATGTTGAACAGTCGACTAACTTCCTTCAATATATTTCTTATGGTGTTATTAGAACCAATATTGGACAGGAATAGAATATTTGTTATAATATTAAACCAAAGAGGCTTCTATTGTTTAGATAGTTAATGAGGATGAAAGATTTGTTCCTATAGAAGTCAAAATATAGGAATTATTATGTGGTGTTAATTATTATTTCTTGATTTGGTTTAGGTTATGTGATATATTTTAGTTTAAAATATTTTGTTTTTAAGCATATCCAATTTGAATGATCTATCTCTAAGGGTATTGCAAGCATTATGCTATATCATCATGACACAATTGCGAATTTGGTTTAAGATAAATGTAGCATACTTTAAAAGTTAAATACAACCTGTGGCTGTGGATTAAGATTGGTAGAGGTAAAAGGCAATTAAAAAGAAAAAATTAAATAATCTTCTCATTTATATCAAGGATAAGTAAACAAGCAATATTTTAATTTAAATATTATTTACTACACTAATAAAACAATGAAATGTGTCAACAGGGTATAGTATTGCTACATTTCCAACTATAAACTTTTTTAAGATGGGTAAGGTCTTCATAAAAATATATCATCATCATAGTGCTACGACTTACAGAGTCAAGGCCTCTTGCAGCGTGGTCCACCAATCTTCTCTATTGATTGCCACCACTCTCCAATTGTGTATTCCCAAGACGGACTTACATTCACTGCCACTCTTATCGATCCATCGCGGCCAATATAGGATATATAGAAAAATAGATTTTATTCAATAATTTGATATTTATTTATAGGATGTTATTCTTCTATTTCTATCGGTTCCAGAAGGGAACTGATCTGTTGAAAAATTTAATATATATATCTTAAGTTATTTAAAAAGGCTTGATTACATCGACTCCTCTGTTTTGTTTGTTATTTGATTTCTTTTTTAAAAGTATCATGTTTCAAATCTACTTATGTGACATAGATAGTGGCATGCAGGCAAAGGGCTAAAAATAACAGTTTAAACTTAAGGAACTGTTCTGTTTTTATTTAAACATTATAGGAAATTATAGTTAAGTTTATTTTCATAATTGTATACTTAAAATTCTAATGTATTCTACAAATACAAATTAAGAGATAGTGATGGTGATATGGGATGTGACATACTACGTTACTATTACAATGAATCCATTGAAATATTAATGTAAAACAGATATTATGTGAATAGTTTATTATGGGTGTGATGACTATCAACTGGGGGGGAGGCGACTTGAAGAAATATAGTTGGTTTCACAGAAGGACTCCATTTCTCTGTCTTCTCCGCTCTCCGGAAATCAGATTCTACTTCTAAAGCTTGGTTTGACTGCTGTAGCAGATGACTCTTCCAAAGAAAACTCTCTCCTTCAAATTCTGTAAATGACTTCTTTCTAAATATTATTTTGATAGAAATATCTTGTTATCCTCCATACTTCTCTGTAAAATTTCCGTGTGAACCGGTTCTTTTGAACTTAAGTTCTTATGTAGCGCTGTTGTAAACTTAGCCATATCTTTATGGTTCGCTAAGAAGTTTTATTAGAACAGGTGGCTGGTGGAAGCCATAATTTCCCAAAAGACTATTCTTGGTTGTGTTGTATGTTGATTTGATGAAATATATTTAAATACCCACATCTCATAGCAGTAGTGTTTGAAACGATTACAGCAGATAGTTTATTAAACTCTTTTCTTCAAAAAATGATAAGTCAAAAAAATTGTAAAAACGTAAAACTTATCCAAGTGAAAGTTTATTGCGGTGTGAACTAATTGATCGTCATTCTTAACATGTAAGAAATGAGATGGAACAACATTTTTAGGATGTCATTTTATACATTAGTTTTTATTTTGTAGTATTAATAACCTTGAAAATATGAGTTATTTCTGTCATTTTATTTACTTTTGTGTGTACAATCTGTACAGCTATTGTTAGCTACAATCTGTTTACAATGTTACTGAAACAAAGTGAAATAGAAAATGTTTTGTATTTTTCTCAATAATTAATTTAATAAATTGATTTAGTAATGATTAAAAAAAAATTGAAGCACTATTGTGCGATAGCACTAAATTAATTTGAATAAAAAATCGATCAAACGGAAGGATGCCACTCCTAAAAAGTGGCAGAACGCTGCAGAAAAGAAAATATTGAGGAAATGTGTCACAAAAAGCAAAACTAAAAACTTCTATGAAAAATTGATTATGAGAGAGCTTACAAAGCATCTGAATGGCTTTTAAAGTAACACCCAAACATGAAGAGATGGTGAGGAGAGAAAACCTCATAAACTCTAAGCAATGCCCTCAATTTGAGAATCATTTTATTTTTTCTTACGTTATTCATCTATTTTAGAGCTGTTCAATGTTTTTTACAATATAGGCCACAAATCAGGATTCTCTGCATTGTAATTCTAATTAATAAAATTGTCAATGTCCATAATAATCTAAATTAAAAACTGTTTAATGTGTTTCGTTTTATTTATTAACCAACTTGCATATCGTTTATAATGAATGACCTCGAAGGGGTAAACGTCATCGTTATAAACTATCATGGTCGCTATTTCCGTTCACCTTTGACTATCAATAATGGCACTGGTCATTATATTGAAATCAAACCAGAGTAATAAACAAAATTTAATCAAAATGGACTTATAACAGTTCTTTTTTGAAAAGAAAAACATACAAATACTATTTACTATTCATAATGTATATAGATCAGATCAGTGCCGAATCAAACTTTTTGAAGGGGAAATTCACCTTGTGTTAGGAAGGTTAAAAGGATGAAGAGTTTTAAAACTATATTTTGCTACTGTTAGTGCTAAAAGTCTTTTGTAAAAATGAAGTTGTTTTATAAGAGGGCATAAAAACGTATTTTTTTTACTTTCACTTACCTACATATGAAATATATAGTAAAAGAAAGTATTGTGATCATGAAAATTTTTTAATCCCAGGTTTCAATGGAAATACCTCTTGAGTCCAAATAACCAAGTCTCACAAAACAATCTGTATACGTTAACAGTCTAGCTAAAAAACGAAAAGTCCTGTGAAATTGAAATTGCATATTCAAGGTTTGTATATGCCTGTGATGTTCCAGCAACTTTTTTTGTCAAAATCAGCTAACCAGAAGTGGCACCTTATATTTTCGATTTAATATAGTGTAGGTTTTATTCTCATTGATGTTCTCTAACGGGGCTTAAATGACTAAAGTATCTTTAATTTTTTTTTATTTGGAATAACTATCCATTTTACGTTGATCTCTGATATAAAAAAAAGTTATCAAAATAAATAATTGAAATATACAGTCATAAAAGGAAATAGCTAGTGTCAAACAAAATAAATATAATACATTAGATGGCTCAGAAAATTAATTAATTGTTTGAAGTAATGTTTCTTACCGTTTATAATTTTTATACTTTCCCTTCCCTTTGTCTTAAAATACTTATTTCTTCTAAAAAGAGGGTGGTAAGTGAAAGATGTGTGATGCACGCACTATCCCAGATTTTTTAAATAATTTATTAGTATAATTTCATATATTATTTTCTCTAATAACAAACCACTTATAGCTATTGCAAACTAAAAAATATCACCTTCAGCACAAATAGAATAAGAATGAAAAATTGTTACTTAAGACCTTTTGCACTAATAGTACCAATTTGAAAGTTGTAGAATTAAGATAATACTATTCATCAACTCTTTTTAAATTGAAGGTAGATGTATTTTTTCTCTCTGATGAAAGAAGGTTTTAGATAGATATTACCTTCAAAATGTATATTTCAACCATTGTCTGTAGGGCCTCTTATTTGTCTATAGTTGATTTCATAGTTAATTGTGTCAGTTTTTTTCCACTAAAATTTTAAGTGTACTTTGTTGATATGTTGTCTGCATATTTATTTAATTCATTTATCATTCACTTGTTCTTTTGTGATGAAAAATATTTTTTTGGATTGCTGTTACTGGTTTTATTTTTTTTGGTCAACATTGTTTTAATACCTTATTTTTTATTTAAAATCACAATTTATCGAATCATAATAAGTGATTGTTATTTCGTACAGAGTATAAAGATAATGAAAAACTGTAAAAGGTGATATAATTTAAAATGCTCAGACATGATATATCAGCAAAGTCACTGTAGTAATTGTAAACAAAAACAAAAAAAAAAAAAAAAAAAAAAAAAAAAAAGCATAAAATAAGCATATTATAAGGACAAAAATTGAAAAATAAATCTAACCCTTCTAAATGTTCCTTTAGTCACGATGATTGATATATCAGCCACTTCACTGTAGCTATTAAACATAACCAACGATTAAAAAAAGTTTTTTATCATCCTATTTGTGTACTTAGCCCTATAAAGAGTTAAGTAAATACAACTTAACAGTTTTGTTTTAGCAATAATTTCTTCACGACAAATGTTTTGTTTTTAATTATGAATTTTGTAAAATATTAGTTCTTTTAGGTTGACAGACAGGTAGAATTATTATTTATCATGTTAATGTTCGCAGGTGTTCGTATTAAAGAAGAAAGACCAGATGAGGCTGAGATTCAAGAACTTGCTGCTAGAATGGTTGAGGCGAACAAAGCCAAGATGGCGGCTCAAGCAGCTGCCGCCGCCAACCCACCACCAAAACCTAGGTGTTACCCGAGCCAGGGTATCCTGGGTTACACATCATCATCACCACGGCCTAATAGCAGGAATACCCCCACCTCACCATCTCCTTCCTCCACTCCGGACAAGGAGAAGGCTCCTATGGATCTTTGCAGCCAAAAAGGTACTTCGTTGTTTTTTTTAATTTCTATAAACTTTCCCTTTCTTTTTTTAAAATTTGTTATAAGTATATTTTACCCTTACATATGGTTAGCCTCATTAATTAAGAGAATTTACTACCTTATGAAATACTTCTGAATAAATGTACACAATATATATTTGTTATTATTGTGTTTCCAGGAAAATTTGGTTGGATAATGCTTGGAGAAGAACACTTACCCTATATCCAACGAGCAGATGAAAAGTATTGTGCAGTGCGTATGGTTGAAATGAAACTCCTTGTTAAATATCTCAGTTACCTTAATGCTGATATTTATTCGTGTACGTGTATTCGAAGTTTTTATATTACTGAAAGTGAAGCAAGACTTTTAACTGAAATTAACATTAAACATTGCGAGGCAAGGTTCGGAAGGGAACAATTTACCACAAAAGACTTAGTAGTGCGGTTAGAAGACGCGAGTGAATTTTATAATTTTCTTGAATTGTGTTATACAAAACTTATGAATCCCCTTAGTCCGATAAACACAAGGTGTGGTTTTGTGCGTATAAATAATGATTCAGTCGTTCCTTATACAGTTAAAAATGATGACAGGTATGTACCTTTATTCTATTTCGAAGGCGAAACAGAGACATTAAAGAAGAGATCCACATCTCTTGGCGCTTGGGATCTCGCCTACTTAAAATTTTGTTGTAAAGTTCAAGGAATAAGAAGCGAACTTTTCGCTAATGATTCTTGTCAGGTGATCAGCTTAGCCGACATCAAAGCCTACTTCCCACCGGGGACGAAGTTTGATGAATATTGGCCTCCGAAAATTGTCGACTCCAACCTTTTGGTTCAGAACAAACCAGGAAGGGGCGGAGTGCCAACTAGTGTTAGTACATCGTGGATTAAAGTACCTCATGGTTCGACGCCTCCCGCGAATCCAGTTGTGGAGACGAGCCGTTTACCTGCAGCTAACCCAGTTAGTAACGGATGGTCTCCCGCCATGTTGGCCTCGCCTCAACGATATCAGTCCTCTCCGATGCCCGTTTCTACTCAACAACAGAGGGTTCCTGCGAATCAGATGTGTTACAGTAATGTGAGTATAGTTAAATTATTACTTAATATTTTAATGAAATTATTTCAGTTTCCTACACAGAATAATTTTGTTGTTCCATACCTTTTTATGTCGGCGAAACACTTCCAATATTAGTAGCAAAATGATGGAAGACACCACTGTAAACAATTTGATACTCCTATTGTGATTCCTTTCTAACAGCTTCCATTTAATCACGTTGTCCATTTAAGAAAGGCTTTGTTTATGAAAAATTGTAATAACAGAATAATAAATACATAATTCTGGCCCATACAATTGCCTTTGCGCAGTCATCCGTGTTGGCTGCTCACCTGATGGTTATGTTGTTTTTTCTTAAACCTTTTACATTATCTGTCCATCTTGCTTTTGGTCTTCCCCTTGACCTAACTCCATTTGGCTTCCCATGTAAAGCCTTCTCACTGTTCTTGCTTCACCCAATCTTTGAACATGTCCTAACCATTTTATACACTGAAATCGAATGAACTGGGATATAGACAGATCGCTGTACATTGAGTATACTTCCTTATTTGTTCTTAGGCAGGGAATTCTTTCCTCCAGTTTAGGCCCTACTATCTGTCTGTCTTAGGATTTTCTTTTTAAACTTATTGGTTTTGCAGATTTCTTTGTAAGAGTCCAGTTAATGTCTCACATGCGTATGTAGCAACTGGCTGAATAATATTTTATAGCCTAAACTATCACGTAAATCGTTTTGGTGGAATATTTGAGATTAATGAATCAAGCTTGCATAGACATGAAGTTGAACATAGAATTAGGTATTGAGTACCTTTTTGGAAAGAGGTGGATGTTCTAGAATATGTTGTAATATTTCTTATATTTTAAACTAGTAATATAACCTCATAAGATAACTTCATACTGTAGCGATACTTCTAAAAGAAATAAGAGGCAGTTAAATAAAAAACAAATTATAAGAATATTGATATATTAAACTGAAATTTATAATTATTTTATCTCAAGGGGTGAGATACTGACAATCTGATCAAAAGACTCACACAAACAAAAATTAACTACACTAAACACTGTTTGATTTTAAAATAAAGCCGAATATGGATTGGCAAGCTAACCTTTTTTCTATATACACTGTTCTTCCTTTGAGGCACTGAATTCATTTGTCTTCAAACACTATCCAATGTTCTGCCAAATACAACTTCCAAAATGGTAATACTTTCATTTACGTAACTCAACCTCTATGGGATATCCTCTCTCTTGTAACAACAAATGCTTGCTAAAACAAAAATCCTTTGTTCCTCCTCTCTTTGGGATTTTCCTTTTTGGGGAAACTACAGAGCAGCCATTTTCTTTTCCCTGAACTAGTGAAACTATTTTTCAAATTTAAAAATCTCCTGACATGAACAGAACCAGATCAGCTTGCCTTTTAATTATTCAACATTAATTTACTAAACCATTTTTACCATATAGGTGTATATTACTACATATTCGAAAAATTTGAAATCCTATCACTTTAAACATTATTTTTAATGTGCTTTTGGAAAATAAATAAAATCTTCCATCGATATTTTCATTGTGTTAGTACTATAACTTGAAGCTACTTCAACCCAATCAGCAAAAAGGTTTTTAAATTGCACCTACATCTCTTGTCATGAAAGTATAAATATAATTAATAATTTTAAACAGGTAAAAAGACATTTTATTATGTTTTCACTACTTTTCCATCTTGGTTCAAGTAATTCCAAGTTACAGTACTGCCTTAAATGTGGTTTTACTATATTCTTGGTTTTCTATCTGAATGTAACAAACACTGTTCATGTACTTCGGACTTAAAACTATGTTTTTATTATTTTTAGGTAACCTCTACTACTAATAGCAGTGTTAATCGCTCACCATATATGCCTAGAGTTCCACCCAACGTTAATCCTTACTATCCAACAGTGAGTCACGTAAGTTTCCTTGCAAAATGCTGTTATCATTTTTGTGTGTATGTGTGTCTGCGCGCATGCATGCAAAAAAAAAAACAAAAAAAACTTAGTTTAAATTTTTGTTATAACCTTTTTACAAGTTTTAGGTCTCTTTAATTAAAAATATGGGATTTTCTGACTTAACTTCTTGAGGAGATCTATCATATGGGGAAGTTGGGACTAGAATTGGAATGTTAAAGCATATTAACTTGGTAAACTCGTTGGGTAAAAATAAAACTCAATAAGCAAAATATTATTACTGGAAAATATTTTAAAATACTGGAATAATGAGGAATATTTATTCATAAAAAATATTGGAATGGTGGGGAATTCAAAGCCTTCTTTGAATAACTAAAAAGGATGGAGAAACTAAAAAGTGAGGAAGACTGTACATACTTTTTACTCATAAAAAATACTGACATGGTGGGGAAGGCTTCTTTGAATTACTAAAAAGGATGGAGATACTAAAAAGTGAGGAAGACTGTGCATACTGGTGCACTATTAATGTATTGTTTAATGACCATCCCCACCTCTCCACTTTATTATTCATTTTACCCCATTCCTTTACTGTCCATGTTCCCCCACTCTTCCACTGTTCAGCCTTCATTTACTGCCCAAAGTGTATATGAGTTTGAGTTATTACAAACAGTGAAGAATAACTTGAACAATTAAAGACATGAATGGATTTAGCTGCTATGAAACTAATTTTTGAAAATTGATTTTTGTTTTCTCTTATAAATGAATGTAATTTGTCATTTTTCATCACGTTTTAAGATTAATGACCCAAATTTCTTGGTCATTCGTATGATTTCTCTATCGATTGGAGAAATGATATCTTTAAAAAATTACATTAAAACAAAAAAAAAATGTTCATACCTTAAAACCTGTAATATTTGACTTCTATCAAATTGATTTTAATAAATATTTTCATACTTTTAGACGAGTGGGCACAATTCTATGAGCCTTGGATCATCACAGTCATCGCAAGTCGTCCCTCAGGTTCAATCTTCGTCGTTATCGAGAGCAACTTCTGCAAATCATTCAGTATCGTAAGTATTTACATGCTTCTTTCATAATTATTTAGGATAAAAAAAAATTTATTTTATTATTATTGCATTTTTGATAATTAATTTAAGAATGAATTCATTTAATAAATAAATCGGTTGTTTAAAACAATAATTATTCTTTTGTGTGAATTCTACTTCTATGATTTTTTTTTTAGTTCCTCTATGAAGCACTAGATATATGTCTTTTCCAAAGGTAGTTAATTATGGTTTTAAGTTGGATTACAATATTTAATCTTGTATAAGTCTGTTAGTAACTTTTTTTTTCTACAATGCTATAATTTTAAAAAACATATTAATTAAATTGAAAGTTAATGTGAATTGTTTATTAGGTTTAACTGTCCTTATGATCCTTAGTCTGGGAATGAAAGGCATAGTATCCTTCTTTGCAGGGTAGAATGAAATAAGCTTCTTAGATTGTCGGTATGGGTAACAAGTGAATCATTAAAATGGTGATTGTGACTAGACCCAACTTCCTAAGGATTGATTAAAGCAGAGATTAGAGGATTATATTATATCTGATCTTGAATCTGTTAAGTATCTTGTGTTTTAATATAGTTTGTGATGGGGAGGAGTTCAAGATCAGTTGGTGTTGTCGGCATTTATCAAGACTTATATTATTTATATGGATTCTTTGTCTTCTTAAAGAAACATAGTAGGGAGCATAGTAGTCAATAGAGTACCAGATAAGATGGTAAAGCTTGGGTGAGATTGATTGAGATGCTGAATTACACACTTGTGCTTTCTTATATTTAAAAGTAATATTTAAAAATGAATATATACTTAGCTTGATTAATTAAACTCACACATTAATTAATTGTTGCGGTTTCTAAATTCTTCTTAACTGAGGTTGCACTATACAATAGAGCAAGGTCAACAACCACTAGTCATCATTCGATTGTTCTGTCAATCCTATTCCGGATGCCCATTACGAACTGAGTTTAATCTGCTGCCGCATTGTCAACCCAATGTAGCCAGGCCTGCCGACCCAACTCTATTCGCCCAACACGTTCCTAAGGATTAGAACCTGTATCATTCTCACCACATGTCATTGTAAAGGGTCTTTCATATTAGTATGTTGCCTCTGATCATTATCGTTGTGGAGCGCCTCATAGATTGTGTAGAGCATTCGTTAATCTTTCGATCCACTGGTCAGCATTGAGCAGGTTGAGGTTTTATTTGTATAAACGCTCCTTAGAGGTCCTAGATAGATCTCTGCTATTAAGGTGCGTCTAGAGACCATAATACCTATCATCACTCCAAAAGTCGTCCCAATCACACAGGCAGTCTGCAAAGCCTATGATCATAACTGACTAAAATATTGTGCCTTCGTACTGTACGTTCCTAGATGAAGATAAAGACATGTCAGGCATTCCCTATTTTTAATGAATCTTTCATGTGTATACAATTTTTCTGATTTACCTCCTTGAACTTCAAGGATTTCACTTTCTTCATTGTACATTTCAAAAAGTTATAATTCTAATTTATCTTTTGAAAAGAATTAAACACTTGCAAGTCCTATGAACTCCTTGTTCAAAGGAAGGGAGACGATTTCGCGAGAAGCAAGCACTGAGAGAAAATCTGGTAATACTGGTCTTGAGGGGCGAACAAAAAGATAATATTAGTATTATAATTATTGCAAGGGCTATCAAACTATTTTTCAACATTGTTATGGTTCATCATTAATGAGTTATTACCACTTTAAATTAGATCAGTAATCCACTTGATGGGACATCTGAAGTTGAAACATTAGTATAAAGGGTTGAAGAATAATATTTATATTTTTAATCTTCATGGTTTTCATTTTCAGTTCCAAATTTGGTGCTTTTGATCTTTCATCTAGAAAGAATCGTACATCCCCTTAAAGTCTGATCCCATCCATCCTCCAAGTATTATATACTTGAAAATCATGTAATAGAAGTATTTTGTTTAGGTTGATACTGGCATGGACCTGATCTTTACTTCTTGATACTGTAGGCCGCTGGCTTCCGAAGAAAGGTAAGGAAGCACCTTGAGAATATGTGAATGGGGTCCTTTCGAAAAATTGTTGGCTTCTGATTCTTGTGGATCAGCAATAGGGCTTATTCAAATTTATTTTTCCTTCGAATTGGATTGCATCTTGATTCTAACAACGCTCCCTGAAATTTGGATATCCTGAAAATGATGTTAATATTAGTCTGTCCCTATTCTTATAGGAATGGCCTGTTCATTTGTTTATTGTTTACCTGTTGAAATTGTCAAGATATATCGTTCATTAGTTGATATTAGATGGATTCATTCTTAGTTAATTCATTAAGTTCTGATTGTATTGTAACAAAAAAAAAAAAAAAGCTCGAAATTATTTCACAATGGTTTATTATTTCCAAACAATTATATATCTAAATTAACATTACTTTCCTAGTGATAAAGAAAAAGAAATAAAAGATGATTCACATTTTTTTTATTAATCGTTGGTAATATGCTAGAAAAAAATTAGCATTATTTCAGTAACACATTCAAAAATCAAAAACCTAAACAAAGGATATAACCTTTACAGTAAAATGTATGAAATTCCGTAAACTTTTAAATAACCATATCGAATACAATATTGACAAAAAAGTCTATACTTTTTGAGTTATTCGGAATCTAATTTTACCATTCCTCGTAACTTTTTTTTTAACTTCTTTTCGTTGAAGTATGTTATATAGATAAATTTAAAGGGCATCGAGAAGAAGACTTTAGCCAAGTTTCATTGAAATCAGTATGTTCGTTTAGGCTCTACAGTCTATAGCAATGCAGGTTTTTCAGTCACCATCTTGAAAGAAAAAGGCGGATAGCAATGTCGATGAAGGAGGATCATCCTTGGATGACCTCTAATTTTAAATTCAAATTTTAAAAAAATCAGTCCAGTAGTTTCGGAGAAAATGTGTGTACGGCAGACGGACAAAAAATTTTTTATTTGTTTTTCGAATTCTACTTATCCTGAAAGGTAAAACCTCAAATTTTGAGAGGGGGTTAAATTTTGAATTTTTGTTCAATTACAATGGTTCATAATTGAAAATAATAAACCCAAATCACATTACTATCCACTTTAATTCAGTACCGCTAAGAAAATTTGAAGAAGAAATAGTTATGAAATTAAAATTTTAATCTTTAGCTCCTAAATTAATATTCTTGGAAATGAAGCAGATGTCTTTTTTTTTACTTTCGTTTTTTCAACATATTGTCTTGGTCAAACAGCTTGCCATGTGTGTGCCTCTTTTGTTCATTTGCCCTTTCACATTTCGTAAGTTTGACAAATTACAGGCGCCCTATTGATTCCATGATATGTTGTGCAATTATGTAATAATTGAAAAAATCAATATTTTATTTATAAATGTATCTCGTTCTATTATATAATTCTAACATTGAGGTATCATTAGCAGGAAAAAGTACTGATCCAGACTGCATTTATCGCCAATTTATATATTTTTTTTCTAGAGTCAGTGCATTTATATCAGCAAAGCCTTTTTGATATTTTATTTTCTAAAGGTGATTAAAATATGAAAGTTCTTATATTTTACTTTTTCCCATAGTTATCACAGTTATGCTAAGGATGACTGGTAAGTTAAATTTATATTTTAAATCTGGATGTTTTAGAAATTCCTTCATAGTTGTTTCTGTTTAAAAGCTAATGCACACAACCCTTTTCATCAGACAACCCATTGTTTAGCATTGAATCTTCTCTAATTCGTAGATTGCTTTATTGCATATCATGTTGTTTAATGTATGTTGATGTTTGTTATTATGTATATTCTATATTCTATGATTGTTATTTTTATCTCTTAAAACTCCTTGTCTCTAATAACTGTAAAACTCCTAATAATTGCTATTTTTTTAATTTACAGATAATTAGTGCATTTTCTATTCCTCTTGCTCAATAATTATTTCGAGTCTATTGTAGTGCATAAGATATTGCATGGACGGAATTCTTTAGGGTGAAAATTAACTTTTGTTTTTCCAGTTGATATTGTTGTTTTACTTTAGAGTATGAAAGCATGCCATATTATTTCTTATTAATAACAATCTGTAAGTTAGAAAATGGTATAAGGTTTCAATTATATGTTTCAAAAGTGGAGGAGGGAAGGTTTGCGCCCCAGTATGTCTGCATGTTTTGTTCCATAAACCATTAATTCAATTCAGGGTTGAGGATCCTCCTTGTGCACACCAAGTCTCAATTATGTGAGTACTTGATTGTTCAATGGCTTAGGGGAAAATGTGGTGATTAAGCTTGGATTATAACTGCAGCACCTCCTGATATAATCTTCATGAAGAAGCAGTAATCCTTTTAAAGAAAAGACCCTTCATGGGTTGCAGTGGTGTAAGCTTATAGATTAATCAGGATGGAGTTAATGTGGTGATGTGAGGAGAGATTTCCATTTGATATATTGTCTTACCGGTTCCCAAATATATTCCCACTTTGGCGACCTGTAATTCGATGGAAAATGCAACTGAAGATTGGTCCAATTGAAGAAGCGTGTTGTTTGTTCCTTAATTGGGGGAAATATTGATTTAAGTAGTTAGCTTACGAAATTCTCCTAAATTTATTAATAATGTACTTTTTACTTCTTAAATGATAAGAATCCAAATAACTCGTTTTGGAAATAAATTTTAGAATTTTCATTTTAAGACAAATACAATTTCTGTGAAGTAGAAATTTTGTTTGCGATTGTTAAAAATAAAAATAATTCCTGAGACATCGAAGAATCCGCCCAAGAACATCATCCAGCTCAAGTATGATTTGTTTATTCAAAATTCAGTCAACTAAACTCGTAAGGCTGACATCTTTGGCCAAATCCTACCCAAGTGGTTTTACTCGCATAAATGTTTAAGTAACGATTTGGTTAAATGAAGTAGTAGTCTAATATAAGAAATTACATGTCAATATATCTAAGGATTTAGTGTTATAGTTTAGAGCAGCTTTTTTTGTTCATCTTTTCCTCGCCTTTTACGCTATTGGGTTTTTTTCTGGGACCAGGTGAGAGGTCAGGGTATTAATGCCAGATTTAAAAGTCCTTCCAGCGCCGGGACTGGAACTCCTTGTAATTGTTTCATCATACTTAAATAAATTTTAGTTTATCAGGTTGCCAGGCAATACGTGTTTCACCCACTCGGCCACCCTAGCCTCTTGTCCAAAACAGTTATATGTTAATACATTTTGGGATTAGATGCTATATTTTCTTTATTTAGAAAGTTATTTTTAATTTAGAACTCTTTTAGTTAAAAAGCATAACAAATTAATTACTTTTTTTTAAATTATGTTTAACTTTCTATCCATATTTATGGTCAGTTTGCCAAAAAGATTGATGTTTTTTTGCCATAGAACACAACTATCCAACATTTTCTGTTATTTTCCTTCCACCCTAATTCTAGAGGATGGGATGGCCGAGCACGTTGGGGGGTTGGATCCCAGAGTACCCGGTTCTGAACGTTGTGGGTTCAATTCCCACATGGGTCGGTTACTTTTCATTTCTCGGCGGCCCCAGGAAATAGATCATGACATTACCAATCTGATAAGTATGCGGTGGCAACCTCAAGGTAGCCGTGCTTCATGTTAGTAAAAGGTTGTATGAACACTTTATTAAAACGTACTATTTAAAGAAAACTTACTGTACATTAGTACACACTATATTTTTAGTTGTTTTTCCTCTGTGGTATAAGTGTTGTTTACTTTACAAGCTGTAGTTACATCTTAAGTTTTCTAGATAAGCCAATATATAGTTGTCCCTGGGAAAGAAATTTCCTGAGTCGCTTCCAGTGTGCTTAAGTTTGTATTTACCTGTGTTTTAGCTTATAATTGCCTTCAATGTTTAGATTGATTGGTGATGATGGTCACTGTTCCATTTCTAAGGGTCATAGCGCAATGTAAAAACCTAAAGTCTTCCTTAATAAACGCTCAATCTTATGTAAAAAAATATTTAAAATCATAATGGATAGTTCCTGAAATTAGTGCATTGATAATCTTCAGCTTTATATGTTAATGTACATTTATTTTATTTTAGAGATGGATTCATTGACTGTATTAAAATTATGAGGAAGATAAATAATCAGGATTTGCAGTCTAAATATGTTTTATTACACTTGCCAATGTTTAGACCCAACATGTGGGTCATCGTCTGGACATAGGTTACCGTCCTGTCTGTTGTTGGACTAGACCAGAGGTCTCCAAACTACAGCCAACGGATCCAGAGCGCAAGCACCTCTCCAATCAGGCCCTCGAAAGTTTCTTCGATTTCATGATAAAATTTTAAAAACTATTTAAAAAATAGGGAATTTAGTTAATCACCAAGACATGATTGCAAATAAAACATTTATTCCATGAGTTACCTCTCTTAAAAAGGTTATTTCACAACTGATCGGGAAAATTTTCAAATCTCGCAACACATTTTTCAACGGAAATACATGTTTTGAGGTCTCTTGAGTCCAAATAACTAAGTCCCGCAAAATGGTTTGTGTGTGCATGTGTCTGTGTGTATGTGACGAGTCTAGCTCAAAAATGAAATGTCGTATGAAAGTGAAATTGCGCATTTGAGGTATGTATATACTTCAGATGTTACAGGAACTTTTTTTGTCAAAATTGGCAAACAGGAAGTGGCATTTTATACCATCGATGAAACACATTTTTATGATTTACTCGAAAATGATTTTGATCAAACTCGGTATATCAGTGTAAAATGAAGCTGTTTTTAATTTTATGTAGCTTTTATTCTTATTGATGTTTTCTAAAAGGGCTTAAATGGCTAATTTTCAATATTAGCTTCATCTAAAGTACCTTTAATTTTTTTTAAATTAATACAATTAACCATTTCACATTTATCTCTAATATAAAAAAAATAGCTAAATATAAAATATGAAAGAATTTTATAATTAACTAAAGGAGAAATAAGAGATCGTAACATAGAATAGGTCTTTTTCACATCGTTTTTCAAGTACTTATTTTAGGATGAATATCTGATCTAGCGTACTCCTCCCTCTCTTGAATCCTGTTTGATGGTCGCCTATTATGTTTTCATGATACGGATATATCCAATTTAGCTATATATTAATTATAGTTATAATGAAGGAACCAAAAGGATGTATGAAGCTCGCCTGGAGAACAGGTTAGAACAGATTTCCATAGTAATACGAGCTGAATATAATATGGACTCCGACATTATTATGTACATATACATATGCGGTTTTCATTGGTATTATTTAATATTTAATTGTATAGCTTAATGCTATATAAATATTAAAATTTGTATGTATAAGTGTACTTAAAGAAATAAAAATATCCACAATGAAATATGAATCAATATAATGAATGAATGAATGAAAATAATTTTATTATTCTGGGACTAGTGTCCCTTTAGAAAAAGTTACAAATACAGAATATATATTAATATTGTGGTGTCCATAAAATACAATTTAATATTTACAGGTTGATTAGGAATGCAATAAAGTTATAAATAATAAAAAGATATAAGTATGTGTAAATATAAAATATACAGAGAAAGTAATTAAGTAAGTAAACGAAATATCGATGAATCACAAAATAATCACAGTATCTGGGTGTACTTTGAAGTTTTTACAGTTTAGGTTTTATTTTATAGCGTTTATAATTTTTACTTTCACTTCCCCTTTGTTTGAAAATACTTATTTCTGCTGAGAAGAGGGTGCTTAGTAAAAGTTGTGTGATGCGCTCACCGCACCCAATTCTTCATCATAAGACATAGCCCACGAGACTTAGTGGTGGCTTGGAAGTTTCAATATGGCCTGTGGGCCTAAAAGTTCTGAGACCCCTGGGCTTGACATTAACCACTGCCCTGATGATGAACCTCATGCTTCGGACGAAGTGTCGGCAAACCTGATATTTATTTTATTATTAAAATATTATTTATTGGGTTCATATTTATTTTATAATAATCCAAATCTACCTGGGGCGGGTTTTTAGTAGCTTAAAATTTCTTCTATTATAAATATGAATGGCCTCATATCAAAGACGGATGTCTTTCATTTTCAGAAAGTGGAGGAAAAGCCAATTTTTGTTTAATAGATAAAATTTAAATTATTTCGTCCTCACGCGGCTGAGGATCGGACATACTAGACTGACACACCTCCACCTCATAACAAAAGATCTTATCCCCAGATGTCAAAAGTGTGACCAGACATTTACTATAAAGCATGTTTTGGAAGAGTGTCCTTTTTACACTGCAAGGTTAAAAGATCTCGGAATACCCCAGAATATATCAGCATCCTTGGGAAATAAAGAAGAAATCGTTACCAAAGTTATGAAGTTCCTAGATGATGAAAGACTTAAACAACATTTATGACAAGTTTATAAATTACTATCCTTTGCAGATTTATTATTCTTTTTTATTTTATTTTTTTATTTTAAAAGTTCATTTGGTTATTAATTTCAACTCATTTATTGATATTTATTTTTTTTAATGTTTATTTATTTATGTATTCTATCTTATTATCAATAATTGTCTATTGTTATTTTTATTTGTTCATTTTATTCTATTAATTCTTTTATTTAATTCTTTTTATCCTTTTTTTTTTTATTCTTATTTTTTGTACTAACCATCCAAACACTATAAAAGTAGTGTTATTTAGTTGATCAGGCGCGGATGACCTGGATGTTTTTGCGTCTAGACATTCAAACAAATTATTTCTGATGATTTTATTTAAGAATATCATTATAATCTTGGCTTTTTCTCAACTTTTTGAAAATGACATGTCCGTCTTTGATATGAAGCCACTAGTATAAAGTTTTTTTTTTTTAATTATTAGAATATTTATGCAAAGTTCAACTTATGCCAAGCGTTGATTTTATGTAAATCTTTTTTTTTTTCTTAATTATAAAAGGTCAGTAGATTTTATTTTTTTTACTCTATGCCATTGGAATTATATCTCTTTTCTTTTTTTGTCAGAAGTTCTATCAAAGTTAGTTCTTTAATATGGAACTTGATACAAATTAATGATGAGATTTGGTAATTTTATTATTTATTTATTTATTTTTTTTATAGGAATAGTGCTTACAGTACAGCTGCTGGAATGTCCCATTCGAACCCATTACTTATGAATAATGGTCTCATGCCGCCGCCTCATTTGCAGTACAGCTCTCACAATAACAATAACAACACCGGTCAGAAGTTCCCTCCGCCTTTGATACCTGTCAACGGTAGCACTGCGAGGTAATGAATTAATTCAAACAACTTATTTATATTTTAATTGGATCGTTATTGCGATAGACTCACACATTTTTCACAATTTAAGTCAAAACTTTTTATCTGATAGCTCTCTCGCCGAAAGATTGGTAGAAATAAAGCCATACTTATGTACAAGCATTTTTGTAACAACCTAGTGACTTTTTGTAATAAACCAACGATATGTTCTGTTCATCCAGACAGTCAAACGACAAAATTTATTTAGAATTATATTAATCTTTATTCTGGCAAGAAGAGTATGTTTTCATTACAAATACTGGGAATGTCAGGGTATTTTCAAAAAAGGGAAAAATTAGGGCATGGAGATGCCAGAGAATTTTTTTAGTATATACATTTTTTTTTTCAAATTCGAAATAAATATACAGTGGATATCGTTTAAAGTTTACCTTGGAGAGGTAAACTTCATCGTTATAAACGACCACAGTCACTGTATTCATCCATCTTTGACTATCAATGATGCCGCTGTTATATGAAATCAAACAAGGGAAATGAATAAAATTTAAGCAAATGGAATAAAAACAGTTCTTTTTTTGAAAAGAAAAACATATTAATACTATTTATTATTTTTAATATATATATCTGGGTCAACATCGTGCTGCCAACACTCATTCAACCCATACTGCTCCTTAAAACCATATATATTAACCAGAAATGTCACTGTTGGTGTCATATGTTAAAGTAACTATTGTGAGCCTGTTAAACATTCTTTATTCGTTATTTTAAGATTGTGTCAACAATTTGAATAATTATTATGCTGTTTATAGTAATGAAGAAACTAAATTATTTATGAGAATTTACATTAATATTTGAATCCCACGTAGCTCACTTTCTGTTTTAACAGAAAATCAGAGCTTATATGTCAAGTATCAACTTTTTATCTCCTCTCAGTTTATGAAAATAAAATAAACGACTAAAAGTTTACTTTTCTAAAATAGACAATGCTTCCTCTAAAACATTTTATTTGTCATTTAAAAGACTGATTTTATTTTTTTTACTCGTTATTTTGTAGTCAATTTTCTTTCATGTATACATAATAAATTTATTTATAAATTTTAATTACAAAAGACTCATATATATGACAATAATAAGACCTATTTAGACTTACGGAATTGAGCTTTGGGGCTCCACTAAACCATCGAATTCCTCTCGTATTCAATCCTTACAATCCAAAATCCTTCGTGAAAGCCTCAACGCTCCTTACTTACAAATACTATCATCCATAAAGACCTTAATGTTCCATATGTTTCCGATTTGGCCCAAACCAGATACCTATCCTTCCATAACAAACTGTAGAACCATACGAACCCTCTCGTTTCAAACCTTGCTTCCTCCTCGATCCCTGATAACACTCCGAGGCGTCTGAAAAGAAGATGGTCTTGGGACCTTCTAATATAGAACTTTAATTGAAGTTCTACCAATGGGTAGTTTCTCTTCATGTTGTACATGTCATGTTACCAATGTCACATTTACTTTTTATATTTTCTATGTAATACAGTCGTAAATTTCACTAAAATAAAAAAATATAAAAAAAAAAAAAAGTTATAAATTTTTAATATTTGTGTCCCTAGACGTATTAGTCGTGGTTAAACTATCATTATACGAATTTTAAAAGTTAGGGAAAGTTAGGGAATTTTACTTTAACTGTCCGGTTACCACCCTGAAATAAAACAGATATTTCATAGAAGGGCTTCTTAGTGTTAAAGAATGATTATATGCACTCTAAGAATAATTACATTAATTTGGGCTTATTCATATTAAACATACAACCAAACTACTTTTCTTATTTTTTTTTTTATAAGCTTTTATTTAACTATTATCTATAAAATTAATAGGATAAATCATTTATAAACATTTCTTAAATTAGAGTATTCATCATTTTAATGATTTATTTATTTTTAGTGGCAGGTATTTTCCCATTTCAAGTGATGTAATTGATCTCTCATCACCGCCGCATTCACCGCAAAGGTCTCTTATCATGAATGGGAAGCAGACTCCACAACCTGCGCACCAAACATCACGCCAACCTCAAGCTCCTCAAGCCCAATCTCCTTCGCAATCTCAACAGAAACAAGTTGAAAATAACATGGGTTGGAGTAGGTTGATTCCTATTAGTGATACACCTGCCAGACAAAGCAATCATTTTCCTTTTAAGGTCAGTACAATTATTAATCTTTATCCTCATTGTTTATTTATTGTATAATTTTAGAATTCGGTGATATTTAGTATAGAAAAGTTAAAAAAGTTTTATTGTACAGTTTTGCAATATTGAATGTTGTTTTTTAAAATGATTAACTCATGGTATTGAAAGTTTATTGCACACCTGTCCAACTCAAATGTCTTCACTGGTCGCTTTGATGACATGTAATAATCTGAAGGAGAGTTCAGGTTGAGGGACCTCCACCCTCAACATGTCATGATAACGAGGTTGGTCCAATGACCCAATAATTTTGTAGGCCACTTTTTTTTTTTTTTTTTTTTTTTTTTATCGGTTTAATGATCAAATTATCTAAGTTGATTGAAGAGAAGTTGGAACTTATTAAAACAATTAATAAAAAATAATAAAGTAAGAATAACAATAACAGAAAGGAACTTATGAAATAAATAATATCAGTATAAAAGTTGATGGCTAATGAAACTAAGACGGGGACTAATGATATATACATAATGAAATTAGATAACAAAAGGAATAAAAAAATTGCAGTATGACTTGTTTTCTTAGTCCTGATGAAGGTTTGAACTTTTGGCCAAAACATCAGCAAATTCTTCTTCTTCTTAATCAATTCCTCTTCTACCGCTAGATCAGTGTAGAGGATCCTGTTTATAGAGCCTGATCCATTTATCTCGTTCCCGCACCAGCTGACTGCGTCTATTCCAATTCATTCCTCTCCTATCGAAATCCTCCCTGACTGAACCTTCCCAGGTCTTTCTGGGCCTTCCTCTCGCCATTCTTCCTTCCACTTTTACTTCATATATAGTTTTGGCCATTCTTCCCTCCTGCATTCTTTTGACATGGCCAAACCAGCGTAGCCTGTTTTCCTCAATTGTGTTTTCTGCTGGTTTTATTCCCAAATTGCTTCTTATCGTTGTATTCCTAATTTTGTCCCTCCTAGTTTTCCCCTCTATTCTCCTCAGAAATCGCATTTCCAATGCTTGGATATTGCTTTTATGTTTTGAGGTTATAGTCCAGGATTCACTCCCGTAAGTCAGTATGGGGACAAATGTATTTCTATACACCGTCTTCTTGACATTTTTTGACACTTCCTTCTCTCTTTGCTAAGAAGCCTGTTTTTAGTGAATGGAAGCATTTGCTGGCCAGTTTTATTCTTTCTCTGATTTCGCCAACTACCCAACTGTTCTCATTTAGATGAGCTCCCAAATACTTAAAATCTTTGACGTGCTCCAGTTCTTCCCTCTTCAATCGAAGTACTCGATCTCCCCTCTCTTCTCCTCTTCCTATCCTCATAATTTTTGTCTTGTGGCTGTTTATTTCCAGGTTGAACAGTTCTAATTCTTCCTGCAGGATTCGGAGGTTGTATTAGAGGTTTCTTCCATTGTTCCCGAATACCACGATATCGTCGGCATATGCCCAGAAGGGTGAGATGAACTGGTCGTAGCTCTCTTCAGTGCCATGTTGAGCACTATTATAAACAATAAAGGGCTTAGACTACAGCCTTGCCTTATTCCTTGGGTGCCCTGAAACTCCCTAGAGGTGTGGTTATAGGTTCTGACCACGCTTATTTTCTTTTTATATAGGCTAAGAATGGCCCTCGCTAGGCCTGGATCGACTTCATGCTCATTCAGTGCTCTGTCTATGTCTACGTCAGCAAATATAAAAATAAATATCATTTATTTATTTTTTATTTTATTGAATGCCCCAACCAACTTCTCATCAATTATATGCTACAGTTAACCATCAAGTCACTATTATAATATGAGTTATTTAAAAAATAAAATTATAATGAAATCGTACTCTGTTTTTATTCCAGATGCAGAAAGCGTTGGTTAATGGGAAAATGGTTCCTTGTATAAATGCTAAACCTTACGTTTATTCAGAATTATTGATGACTGTTGATGATTTACTAGAATACTTCTTCCCTGGTGTGAGTTTGGCTAAGTGTCGAGAAGTTCTTCAGAATGTTCTTCAAGTTACTCTTTATTCCGGAAACTTGTAAGTTTTTTTTTTAAATATTTATAGCTACTTATCGTTTATTATGTTTATTTACTTATTATAAAATTCAAAACATTAAAAATAAGAGTCTTACCTTAAGGAATTTCATATACAATTTTAATAACTATCATGTCCATTCAAAAATTCTCACACTTGATATCTTTGGTATTCGGAGTATAAGCAATATTAGGGAAACATGTTTTTTGGTATGAACAACATAATATTATCGAGTAACATACTTTATCAGTGTTAACTTAATAAGTAATTAAATAGTTTACTCCACTAGAAAATCCAATCAATTTAACAGTTCAGTTATAAGTCTCAGCTATACGTAAACCTACACGATCCTCATATTGTACTCCCTCATATCTTGAATTGAAGCTCGATGTTACAGAAGTGAAATCCAAATTAAATAAGAAGATTTTGTCCTCTATAATTTTTTTATTTTCTCCATGCTGCATGTTTCGGTCTTTCATCAGATCTTCATAAGGCTAAATAAAATATATAAATTAAAATCAACAATCTATAGAAATTAACAATTAAATGTCCAATTAAATAAATTGCATAAAAAATTAATTATCACCTAACTTCTTTTTTTTCTTCCCTACGTTGCCTTTTAGGCTACATAGGGCTTTTCCTGGGCTGGAGGAGAGATTGAGGGAATTTTGTCAACTTGTCCCGCTCGGCCACCTCATCCCGTCCTTATCACCTAACCTACGATGATCTTACTCTTCTGCTTGTCATATGAGGAATTTAAATAAAAATAAAACTGCTCTCCAGAAGGTGGATACACGTTCAACCACCCCCTAAGACTTGTTTTCGTTAGTTGTTACTGATCATTTAATCCTCATCTTTAGGGAATTTTCAAATTGAGTATTTTGGACATTCAAGCATAACATGTTATTTTTCATTGTTTTATTCTTTATCTCTAATTTTTTTAAAAATACATTATTTTCCCTTTAGATTTAATGTGAAGCAGTTTTATTTACGTGGGTACAAACCTGACCTAGAAGGATGTTGTTCAATACATTTTTTTTTAGTTTTCTTCTCGTCTGTTCGATATAAATGAGCATGAGCACTTGATCGAGTAAATCTCACTCTTACATATAGAGTCAAGTTAGTCCACAATCCTGCAGATCATACTTTTTTAAACTTTTATACAATCTAAGGGGAACAATTTTACTATTCTAATATCATTACTTATACAATAAACAAAAGCAGTCTTGATTCCTAATTATTAGATTATAACGTGAATGAATTTATATTTGACTTATCAAACTTTTATTTTATTGTATTGTTAATTAATTTACAAAATATTTATGGGCCTTGCCTTTACTTCTTATTGTTATCATCCAAAGAGCTAAAACTGGTTGGAATTCAGAGAAAGTGGTCTATTTAGTTTTTTAAAATTTACCAGAAATGTCAAATAGAAATTAGTCTATTGAAGGATGTTAGTAGACTGTTCTGGTTATAAATACTCAGGACGCAGTCATTATAAAGTTTTTATTAGTGCCGACGTTTCATCCCAAACATGCGGGTCATCAGTGCTCGAACCATGCCCTGATGATGAGTCACATATTCACGTCCGTCGACATGTATCCAATATTTCCCGCGATACCATTTCCACTCTAAAACGTCTAAATTATTCTCATCACCTATTTCCATTTGAAACCCGTAGGCTCCTAGTCACTTCCTTAATTTTATCACCTATTTCCATTTGAAACCCGTAGGCTCCTAGTCACTTCCTTAATTTTCTCCCACTTTGACTATTGCCATTCGGTATATGGAGGCGTCTCTGGAGATCTCGAGGCGAAACTAAAATGTTTGATAAATTGCTTTGTACGATTCATCTTCGGGACACCAAAGGATGCCTCTGTTTCCCATTTTTATGCAGAGTTGTAGTGCCTTTATCTTTCCTACCGTCGTAAATATTTCCTGGCATCCTTCCTCTTTCAAGTCATCCAATCCCACCGCCCCTCATACATCCCTGAGCTCCTTCAATTGAAATCCTCTGTTCGTTCCCGGTCTTTTGATTTATACATAAGGGCCCACCAAAACGCTGCTTTCGACAGATCTTTCATTGTCCAATCCTCGTCCATATGGAACTCCATCTCCTCTCACATTCGTCAATCGATTACCCTTCCTGCCTGTTCAATCATTTCTTATCCATCCAGTCCCCATGAAATTCTAAATAGATAATAAAGTAAATGTATATAAATTATTAGTTCGTTCTTCATAATTTTTACTTCATCCATTTTTTTTTTTTTTTTCAATTTTTTATTATTAACTGATTAAAATTCGAAAGTAACTTATAATTTTTTATTTTTTTACTATGACTGTTTAATTATTCTGTATCTTTATTTAAGTATGTCTAAGGCTCCTTAGCCCATATTTATGTCTCTGTATTATTCTAAAGGGACAAGTCCCAGAATAAATAAAGTATTATTAATAAAAACTTTATAATGATTGTGTCCTGAATATTTATCACCCAAGAAATTAATCTAATTTACTTTATGTGTATTTTATTTATAATTTCATTGATTTTTTTTTTTTTCTTACAGACAACAAAAAACTGTCTTACGCGAAAATAATAAGTGTAAAACCTTAACAGAAGTGCTCCCTCTGATACAGCTGAAAGATGTCATGCAGTATATGCCTCAGTTAAAGTATGTATTATTTATATTTTATTTTCATAATGAACCATTCTAATAGACCAAAAATTCTAGGTGTTGATCCCCCTCAAAATTTTGTCTATCTGTGGCTTTTTCTCTGAATCTATTAGACTAATTTTTTTCGAGATTTTGAAATCAAGATCAAACGTCACACAATGATGAGATCCTCCTATCTCAACATTACCATCTGTCTCTTTCTTTCAAGATGGTAGCCGAAAAACCTGTGTTGGTATAGACTGTAGCACTTTAAGAAACTCACCGATTTTAGATTAATGGAACTTGGCTAAAATTATCTCTCCGTTGCCCTTTAAATTTATATATAGAACATACTTCACCAAAAAGTACATTCTATTCAAGATGGTGGCCCAAAGCTTGGCTTAAGTCTTCTTTGAAACCCTTTAAATTTATTCGTATAACTTACTTCATATTATAAGTTTTTAATTCAAAAAGTATACAGTTTTTACAAAAAAAAAATTGTTTAGGCCAATATTAGGAATCTCCTTTTATTTATTTTCCTTTACGTGGCAAGGAAAGTTAAGTTAATTTGGATTTATTATTGTTTGGAAATAATAATAAACCATTGTTTAATAATTTTCAGTAGTTTTTAGATTAGACACTTAACATTATTTGTAAGTCACGTTATATAGCCATTGTGAAATCATAATAATGCAGGGCATGAGATAGCTTAGTAGTGTGTTAAGTTCTGAAGGAACATGGTTTAAATACTGTCTTTATGGCCCATTTAATTTCATCTGTTAAGAAAACATTACATTATTAACTTTAGCTTCATTAGAATGAGAACTAATCATAAGATCTGCTTTTTATTTATCTTTTTTTCATAAATCTTGTTTTTTTACTTCCATTCCTCCTCTATGCATAAACAACTTGCAAACTCTTAGAACTTTTTAGGATATAATGTGCTGATTGTACTGTACCACAAAATATAAGAAAAATAATGATGTAGAGATGGCTGACCGTTGATATAATATCAGAAGGAGTTGATCGGGGGTGCGGTCGAATAAATACTAAATTAAACAAGTAGAATTATTTAATTTTTGCCGACGTTTTGACCGACCCACTTTGCAGGTCTTCATCAGGGCTACAAAAGATACAAAACATGGTGAAAATGAATATAAGTAGATATAAAATAAGAATAAGTTGTCAGATACAGAAATAAAAAGATGATATCAGATATATAGTGGGTGACAATGAAGTTAAAATATCAAGTATTATATGTAGAAGATACAAACAAAAATGGAAAATAAGTATGAATAAAAATAGAAAATAAAGGAGCATATAGCATGTAAGTTAAAAGTAAACAGATTGCGATAAAAGACAAGGAATGAGTGTATAACAAACTAATAGAGATTACATTTGATAAATGTAGGTTAACGAATAAAGAAAAGAAAATGAATGTTAACGAATAAATAGATTGTAAATTGAATAATCTGTTTTATCGCAATCTGTTTACTTTTAACTTACATGCTATATGCTCCTTTATTTTCTATTTTTATTCATACTTATTTTCCATTTTTGTTTGTATCTTCTACATATAATACTTGATATTTTAACTGTCACCCACTATATCTCTGATATAATCTTTTTATTTCTGTATCTGACAAACTTATTCTTATTTTATATCTACTTATATTCATTTATTTTATTTTCACCATGTTTTATATCTTTTGTAGCCCTGATGAAGATCTGCAAAGTAGGTCTAAACGTTGGCAAAAATTAAATAATTCTACTTGTTTAATTTAGTATTAATTTGAGCGCCCCCCCCCCCCCCTCCCTCCGATCAACTCCTTCTCATATAAGAAAAATAGCTCCTTTGTTTTATTAATGCTTGGGTTTGGTTTAGTTTTATTTCACTGATCTGGTAAGAGGTGCTTTCTTTCTGCTATATATGGAATAGCTATGAATATTTCAAGCATGCAATACATGCGAATGCTCTTTTTAGTAATTGTTCCCTCAATGGAAATAAGCTCAGGAGTTATTAATTCTACCAGTGTATTGATATTATTAAATATTTGAAACTATTTTTAGTTTTTAGTTGTTTGGCAATAATAACTTCCAATTAGTAAGAATTGAGTATATTTCTATTATCAACGTTACATGTTAACAAGTTAGTTGACGTTTCGGGATATTTACTCCCATCTTCGGAACTGCAATTCCAATTATCTTGTGGATTCAAGGCTAAAAAATTTTTGAGTTATAATATTGTGCTTGTTACATTACATGTTTGAATTTTGTTGTTACAATAAATTTTGTAATTACCTTAAAATTAATAATAATAATAATGTGCCCCATCATCAAATTCCTAATTCGTGTTCTAAAATGTATCATCTAGAGCAACATCCTGCTTTTGACCAATAATTGAGTATCTGCCATAGTTAAAAAATTGACCTTTGGATCTGACTATTTTTATTATTGTTGTTAACGTTTATTTTATGTATCTGTAATTTCACTTCTATTAAATATTAATTTTGTTCAATATGTCCGTAAAATGAGTTCCTAAATGTTTAGTGTCTGTTTTGTAGTTGACTGTTGTTCTATTGTTTTTTGTTATTTGTATTGCTTCAAGTAATTTCCTATTGGTGTTTTTTGGTTCTGTGCCTATTATCTGTGATTTGTTAAAGGTAAAATTATGCTGTAATTTTATACTGTGATGTGCTAAGGCTGTTGTGTTTATGTTTTTTTGTATTTTTACAGTTGATGATATGTTGTGAGATTCTAGTTCCTAATTGCTTGGATGTTTCACCAATGTAGATTTTGGGACAGTTTTGACAGTTTAATTTATATATTACATTTTTCTTGTTTATTGGTTCTATTTTATCCTTTGAAGGTAATTACAAATTTACTGTAACAACAAAATTCAAACATGTAATGTAACAAGCACAATATTATAACTCAAAAAAATTTTAGCCTTGCATCCACAAGAATATTGGGATTGCAGTTCCGAAGATGGGAATAAATGTCCCGAAACGGCACCTAACTTGTTAACATGTAATGTTGATAATAGAAATATACTCAATTGTTACCAATTGAAAGTTATTATTGCCAAAGAACTAAAAATAAATAGACAACTTCCCAGAAAAAAGAATAAACTGTTTCATATATTATTTTTTGTTGACAGATATGTCATGGAAAGGCATATGAATAGCAGTGGAGAAAGCGCTGCAAAACGTGCAAGGATCAGCTAGGAATACGCTGGGGTCAGCAGTGGCTGGCCTAGGCAAGAAGACTGCAGCTCGTGCAATAAGCAACACGCTTGGCCCCCCGATTCGCGGTTCACACATTATTGGTAGATGCCTTTCTCTTGATAAAGCACATGTCACACATTTCTTTTGTTCCTTTTTAGTGTCTAAACGATGACTTGTAGATAATATAACATCTGTGTGGCTCGGTGGACATAGAATATACATAAATATTTATATAGTATATACAATTTATATTTGTATACATTGTACCAAAGTTATATGCTTTTATTAAAGCATTATTTTTTTTTTTTTTTAATTTTTAAACCGAATAAAGTTATTTTAATGTTGCTCGTCTATTCATATGTCAATTTTTGGCTGTAGTAACACTAATTGATCCACTTTTCTTTTTTCTGAAAAAAAAATAGTGACAAAATTTGACGTTATGAATTAAATACTTTATTATATATAGTTTTGTTACAATACTCATTCTCTAGCTTAAGTATTAGGAAGATAAATTAAGATTTAAATGATAATTCTGATTATGAATTGAAGTGAAATTCTATGTCAGTTTCGAGTTTCTTTTAAAATTATTTATAATTTTAACTAAATGTACCTAGACATAACCATTACTTCTCAGAATCATGTATATTCATGAATACTTATTACATAGTGTACTCTCTTATATCCAGTGTTGCCAAAATTGTCTTTATCTGAATAAATGTAAAAAATTGTATTGATTCGTCCACTAAGTTTATTTTATCCATTAAGCATGACTATATTTGATTGATAAAATCTAACGAAATCAAAAATTTGAGCATTATTTTATTTTCCATTAACAAGATATTGTTTTGAGGAACTTGATATATCCCATCTTCAGTGTTTTAATATCAAAAAACCAATAAAATTACAAAAAAGTATCATGAGTTTTTCCTTAAAGGCCCACTGAATGAGAGAGTTCGCTGCTTAGAAGTACTTAGCTAGTTATACAAACATTTTTCTTATACTTACATATGCTTTGTTTGATAATACATTCATTAGGAAAGAACAATATTTGTTTAAGTTAAATCATCTTTTTAATATAAACCGGCGTTAAGCAAGGTGTCACAAGTATGATCATGTCTAGACCACTAGGTTTTTTTTTTTTGGTTTTTTTTTCAAGGTTGAGAAAAAAAGATTTTTATGAACTTTGTAATAGTTAAACGTATACATGAATTATTTCTTTTGAGCCTAATAATTTTTATATTATGAACATTTGATGACCATGAAACGTAAAGTGATAAAATGTTATATTAACTCACTATTATTTATCTTGTAAATATATAAATATATATATATATATATACATATTATGGGTCATTATATTTATATTGTAAAATAAATAAACCTATTGTACATACAGACCCTGTTATAAATAAATGTATATAGTAATTTAAAGTAGTATCTAAAATTGTGTAATTACGACTTTAAAAAAATATATATAAATTCATAAAATATTGGAGCTTTTTATTAATTACTTTTTGTAGAAGTTCAAGGCTATAGTTAACATGCCTGTATTTATTACAACTACAATATAGAAGGTTAAGTTTCTACGAATTGCCTCGTTATATTTGTAAATAATAAATACCTAACGAAACATTAATGAAATAATTTAATGTTAATGGTATATTTAATTCGTCTTAAAAAAAATTAAAAAGCAAATGAGTTGCTTTTCATGAATTCAGTTGCATTTTTCCGTTATATTGTTGTCTTGTTTTATCCAATATTTCTTATAAATATTTATTTATTCAATTTTTTTTTTTGTCAGGGATAAAAAAAATCAGTTTCCTGCAGTATTCAATGCCTATTATTTGAGCTGTACGTAACTTGCTTACGAAATATACTTGCCTGATCATTGCCTCCATATCTGCCTGTCGTTTCGACAGTTCTTTTATTTATGATAATCTATAGCATTATGAAGGTGTGCAGATTTATTTGATCGATATAACTTGTCAGTTGTCGAAACATTTGAGATCTCTATCAAATATGTAATTAACTCTCTATTTGATAGTTATCTCATGAAGCAGCATTTTGGCAACATTAACAATCTCATGGTATTAAATAACATATAAATAGACTTTAGAATGAATAATACATATTCACAAGATAGCGTTAATTATTTTGGACAACTATAAATGCTGCATACATGTTTCCAATGTATTGCTAATGTTGGAAGAAAATTAAATTATTTATAAATATGCTGGTTACAGAACATTTTTTGTTATTAAAGTTAAAAAAAAAAAAAACTGTTAAATACATTTAAAACAAGATATATTGTGCATTAAAAAGTTAAAATTTCTTGTTTGTGTTATCGATGCCAAAAAATATTGGTTAAAACTGTTAAGGCCAAAGATTGTATTACATAATTCTCTCCAAATGGATGCATTTTTTATTTTAAAATCCTTGAAAATGAAGGATGCTTAGTTTTTGTTCTTTGTGTAGACTAAACATTTTATTGAACAGGAAATGAAAACTTTTACCATGTTTTCTTAATTCCATTAATTATTAAAATTTATATCAACCAATTCAGTGTCAGAAATTTCAAAGAATGTACTAATTTTATCCGAGTGTAATTGTTTTAACTTATAAAATTAGACTACAGAAGTAAATCTCTAAAAACACTTAATGCCATTTTTTTTTCTTCGATAATTGAGAGTCAATAAAGAATTTGGTGCAAAGCATTTAATTTATTATTCTGTTTATTGTTATTTCAAGCCAAAATGTATTACTTAACTAATGTTTTCACTTCATGTAATTTGAAAGGTAATATGTCTTGTGACACAAAATCTGTTGAATTTAGAAATATACGACTGCTATAGAGAGGGAGACAAAATTAAGTAAAGTAAAAGATATAGGTTTGAGTTATAAAAACTTCAATAGCGGGGCTTAGATCCAAAAAGTCGTAAATGTTGATTTTGAGAAAATCATTACATTTACAAGTACTTTCTCTGGCTAAAACTGATTTTTTTTTTATATTTAAATCTTAAATGATCTATGTATGTTTTGGTTTGAAATAACAGAGAAAACAAACAAAAAACTTTGAAAGTCAAATCTCAATTTTAAATAAATGGTGTTAAGTATCTTTAGGCTATAACATTATATTCATATTTTCTTCTAAGTAATCGAACGCAAGGATTAGATTGCCTGAATGATAATGACACTGAAAGGGTTGAATTGAATGGATATTTATCTTTTGGTTTTAATAAAATTATGACATTTTAAATGCTGTTTTAATAACAGACAATCACTAAAGGCCTGTAATCTTTTTCCCTTGGTATTTTCTAATGACTTTACTTTTGTACGAGTATAAAATTTTAAATGATTAGTTTCTTGAATGTCAATTTGCCTAAGAGATCTGAAAGAATGGTTTTGTACATATTTCTATCCCTGAATAATCTGTAAATGATATATTTAAAAAAAAAAAAAAAAAAAGTGAGCATAATATATTGTGGTGATAGATAGTAATGTTAGACCGCAGTATACTACTTTTTTAATTTTAAATGTTTAACATGTATCAAATACAAAAAAGAAATTTTGTTATATTTATTTATGTTTCTTAGAATTGTATACGTAAGTATTAATGTTAATAAATAATTTGAAAATGTTTTTATTGTTTGATATGTAATCTAAGCCTTTGTCCAAAAACTTTAAATAAGAATTGAAGAGATTATTATGTTCTCAAACTATTTTTACAGATTTGAAATATGGCCATTTATAGCATAGGGGAAGGACTATCCTATAAATCTGAAATAAAATTTTTAAAAATTGTTTTGACATAGTTACGAAATCATTTTTTTAATCTTAAAAGTCATTGTATTGAGAATCATTTATTTATTCTCAACCTACTATGCCTCTTGGTAATATAGATTTTGGAAGAGCACAAGCTATCTGTACTGATATCTCTTGTACTCTAGATTCTTTATTCCATCTGTATATAAATGCTTCATAGTAAGAAGCTTAATGACTAACTAAGAAACCTTGTTCTCTGTGATAAGGTAGCATCTAGTTTCTCTCAATAGTTTAGCCCTTACTTTCTCAACTGTGCTTATCGGAGATGAACGTCCTCCCTGAATTGATGGAGCTTGTTGCAAAAGCCCTATCTTCTCTGAAATATTTTCTCAAGGTTCTATTTTGTCCATCCATCCATTAAATCTCTATCTATTCCACTCATCAATAGTATTTCTAATTGCTTAGATCAGCCTCAATCTTCCGTGAAAGATTAGCTTTCTTTCTTAAAACTATACTTCATCAGATTGGTAACAAACTTCTCTTCTATTATTGCGATAGATTTCATTTCCAGGCACGGGATATTTATCTCAGAATACCCTATACTATTCTGTTATAAACAGTTATTGCCAAGAATCGGAGCAGGCCCTGTCTGGTCTGGTTCCGTTTAGGGCCCTCGGCCAGAGTCTGTAATGGGGCCCATTTCAGGACATTTAAATCCCTGGGAAATACACACACACATATATATATATAAACACTTGTAAGAATGAAATATAAAGATTTTGTCTCAGTTTCTTTCTTTGTCCTAATACAAATGCAAGTTTGACACTTAATGGCGCAAGTTAGATGAAATTTGGTGAAACTGATTCTGAGAATACAGAAATGATGGATAAAACATTTATGCAGCTGGACCATCTGAGGGGCCCCAAAAATTAGCAGAAATAAGAGGGTACAAAACAATTATTTTTACAGCCAAACATACAACGGAACTAGATAAATATAAAAAATGATCTTCGATGCCCCCAACCATTCTATCTATGGTGAAAAAAAATACAAAACTATTATTTTTGGGACTAAACCATGGTACTAGAAAAATATAAAATAATGACTGGATTCCTGTCCGGTGTGCCCATCCCTCCAAAGTCAATGATGCAATCGACTGTAAATCAGTTTACATTTGTATCTATTGAAACAAATGATGCATATCAGGCTCAATTTACATCTTGTTCAGGTAATGATTTGATAAAATATTTATTAGTTAATTAATTAAAAATGTTCAAAATCACAATCTTAATCAAGTCTCCAAAAAAGGAAAAAATACGTGATGGTACTAAGAAACAAAATAACAATGTGGTCTCAAGAATGGAGAACAAGAAGCAAAGCATAGTGAAGAAGTAAATAATATAAAATTTCTTCAAAAATTATTTATGGACATTTTGAGAGAACAGCTACCAGCAGAAAACGGTCTGTTTCATACATAAATAAGGAGATATAGTTCGTATAATAATTATAAAGATATTTCTTCCCCTGTTATCAATATGGTTAATCATTATTTTTAATGGATTGCTTCCATTGCTGAATGAAAACTGAAGAAATGCCAATCTGGATTCTGAAGAGAGAGTTCAATGACAAATCATATTTTTACTCTGTGAATTGTGTTGGAAAAGGCAAAGGAATACCAGATGCGTAATCATCACATGTGACATTTTGATCAGAGAAGGAATATATAAGGCAATCATGAAAATGAATTTACCAGCTAAATTGGTTCAACTTAAAATAATGATAATGGAGGACAATCTATGCTTTGTCACAACAGGAACAGATGTATGGCAGGATGCTGAGCCTCTCTAGTATTTAACTTCTGCCTCACGAAACCCTTATAAATGCACGCCTTTAAGCAACAGGAAAACTTCTTAGCAGGAAAGTCCAGATTTCAGATTTGAATCTTGCAGGAAGGACCCTAAACACACCGAGGAAAGCTTTACAGGCATTGGAGGAGTCTGCAACTAATTACCAGTGAAGACGATGATAGTCATGTTGCATTACAGTTTTAAAAATTTACAATCCTTCATTTATTCAGGATCCCAGATTAATCAAAAGAACAGCTTAGAAGAAGAAATCTAGAGAAGGATGCTCTCAGAAAAACACACTTATTTTTTTTTACTCAAAAACACCTATGAAGCATTGCATTAAAAAAAACCCTCAGAATTAAGTATATTCAAAACAATAATCCAACCAGCATTTATATGACATTAAAAATATTGACCTAAAATACAAAACAAAAAAAAAGTTTTCTCAAGATAAAGGAAAAAACTGGCAGTCGATGACTCAACAAGTGGTTCAAAGTAAAGTAATTTTTTATCATTACATTTGTTTTTGTTTACAATTTCAATGATATGAACATAATACAATAAATATTAATAGGAAGATAGGAATTATGAGAAGGCTTATTAGTGCCTTATCAGAATTATCAGTGTTCAGGTTATAAACATTGGCAGATAGCAGTCGGTCCCCAAGGTCAATACAACTACCAGGTTCGCACACTCAGAAATGCGTGGTGGGGGAACTTGAAACGTGACGTAAGGAATAGACCTACCTATTATTCTTTCAAGCCTATCAATGAAGGCTTATTTCAACATAATAGTGCTTTTTTTTTTGTTTTCTTGTTTAATTTATTGAGAAGAATACTTTTCTGTGTTTTTGACGTTTGATTGAAGATAATTTCAAGCAGATAAATACGGCTATCAATATAAAATGAAATGCTATGAAAATTATCGGCCAGGCCTGAAACGAAATTTATATTAAGATTATTTATAAATTCTTTATTTCAAAATCTCTGTGAATAATATATAGATATATTACATAAATAGAAAAAACTATGATTTACATTTATTTAGAGGACATTATAGCACAATGTTTGTGTAATTTTGTTTGTAGATCTCGTAGGTATTTCTTTTAATATTATAAGGGTGAAGATCTTTGTCAGGATTTGCAGTCAAAATTTCTTTAAATAAATAAATTTATTAACAAAAACAAATAATTTATATTTTATTATTATTATTTATTAAGCCCCTCCCCCATAGATCCGCCTGTGGTATTCAAACAGCTTTATAGACACGTAAATTGAGTTTCAGGTTTCATCATCCAAGTGTCCATATGTAGGTAATTGCCTTTTAGATCGGGGCCATCCATATATATTATTTTTTCCTTGATGACTTCCATCCTCCAGCTTGAATATACCAGTAGAATTTTTCTACGTCTCTTTTTGAAGCGATGAGCACCTGATCGTCAGCAAACTGGAGATGAAAATATATTTCCAATATTTATGCCTAAATATTTACATTTTTTCATCCATTCTTAATACCATTTCTTCTTAAATGTTAAAAAGGAGTGGAGACAGTGAAAATTCCTGTTTTACGCCTTTCGTTATGAGGAAGCTATTGCTAAAAGAGGCTACGGCACTAGCGGATCCAGGATTTAATTTTGGGGGGGGAGGGGAGGCTTCAGCCCGAAACCTTCTTTTTTCATATAAATAACGATAATTACTTTGGAAAAACAGAAAGAAACTAAATGCCTATATGAAATGGTGTTTAAGTGATTGCTTAAGTCCTTTTAAATGTAATTACATGAACAATAATACTTTAAGAGGTATTTTTTAAATTTTTTTTTCCATAAAACATGATTGTATTTTTCCATTTTGGGGGGGCTTCAGCCCGAAAGCCCCCTCCCCTCCCGTAGATCCGCCCGTGGGCTAAAGTTTTAAGTTTTAGCATCGTCATAGTCGCTTTTTATGGCTGTTATAAGCTACGAGTAGAGAGTTATGAAATCTGAAGGATATGATACACATAGGCGGATTTACGGGGGAGGGGGCTTTCGGGCTGAAGCCCCCCCAAAATGGTAAAATGTAACCATGTTTATGGTAAAAAATATTTAAAAATATGTCTTAAAGTATTATTGCCCGTTTAATTACGTATAATAGGGCTTCAAGAATCACTTAAACACCATTCCATATAGGTAGTTGGTATCTTTCTGTTTTTCCAAAGTAATTATCGTTATATATATGAAAAAAAAACTTCCGGGCTGAAGTCCCAAATTAATTAAAGTCCCAAAATTAAATCCTGTACCCGCTGGTGATGGTACATAATGAAGAACCTTATATTTTTGGACTAACGACAAGTGTGATACAATACCATTAAAGAAGCTGTGGGAAACGTTGGATGACTAATTATCCATTGAATTAAAAACAAAAAATTAATTACATCAACAGTCGAAAATTGACAGGAAATTATCATTAAGAATGAGAATAATGCGAAAACGAGGAAAATTAGAATACTGCTGTGTTTTATCCTCACAAAAGGGATGACATTAAAGTTGCTATGTTTTGGTGGTGGTTAAAGATGGTGGAGGTAAGTAGAGTTTTTATTTTTATTTAATTTTTTTTATTATATTTTTCAATCTTTCCTTGAGATCTGTAGGATTATGTCTATTATTGCATATATTATCCATCCTCCTTATTACATTCAATTTTCCCTGTTTCCAATAATCGACAATAATTGTTGCCAATAATAGTTTAGGGTCTTGTTACTTGTATACTTCGTTTACTCTGTTTATATAGTTTATTGTCCTTAATATTTCTAAGTACTTGATATTCACACTGTGTATAATAATAATAATAATAATAAGGCTTAGCGAACCCGAAGGTTCGATGCCGACACCACCAATCGCTTGTTACACACCTCCCTCCACCGTTCGCCGTCCAAACCCAGTCCCTTCAGATCGGCTTTAATGCAATCTTCCCACCTTCGCTTCGGTCTACCCCTCGGACGCTTACCATTCGGCACCGCACATATTAACCTTTTAGGAATTCTCTCGTTACTAAGCCCAACAACTTTACAAGCCCATTTGATTCGCCGCGATGAAATTACCTCAATTATATTACCCGGATACAGCTCACGCAATTCGGCGTTGTGTAACCGTCTGAA